GCATGTAAATTCATTCCTTGCTGTGGTACCCATGAAAACTCCTTTTTCGGTTAATCTTTGGTCCTGAGAGCTTCAACTGCTATTCATGTATGTATAAAAATTCAGGTTATGACCGTAATCATACTAATATAATTATATCAATATGTATTCCTGACCCGGGCTCTGGATGGAGTTCTGATAATTGCAATGAGACCAGAGCACCAGTCATGTACTGTGAATGTATTCATTAAAACATCCAACTGTATTATACATTGCAAATCCAGGAGTCAGGTACATCTACTGCACATGTATATTTAATTGCGGAAATCGTTCAGAGAGACGTCCTTTCATTACTGTATCATCAAAATGAAACTAATGTAGATACCTCTGCTCCATAGTGCCATCTTTTGTACTGTTTCTGATGCAATAAAGACAGTTTAGTTAATGGCTATTTATTGAAGAAAAATGTATGTTCACATCAGAAGCTTTGTTTCAAATGCTGCTTCCAGATGGCTGCATCAATTTAAACACTGCAAATCTGTGTGACTGTAAAGATTTAAGCTGCTTTTTGGGAGAGGGTGTTCATTTTGATCAGAGTGAAAGTAAAACTCCCTATAAAAGCTGCTACATAAAAGGATTTTTGATAAACTTCAAAATTAACTGCACAAATAAGTCCAAACTTTGGAAACTGGGGTGATTAAATGTTGCTAGAAGTCATTGCTTCATTATAATATTGCATTTTTAGGTCAGAGTTCTAGTGTAACGATTTTACAACATAATTGATCAGTTGATAGGGTGAAAATGGCCAACAATTGCTGGTTTCGGCTGTTTAAATGTGAGGATGTCTTGCTTTTCTCTGAATTATCTTCACATTTTGGACTGCTGGTCAGAAAAAAATATATGATGTTGAATATGTCACCTTTGTCTCTGCGAAATAACAATGGGTATTTTTAGATAGATTACTATGATGGGAATAATCTATAAAAATAACTTGATAAATTACATGTTTACAAATATACTACTATATATTATGATACATAGTATGTATCTCCTAACGTAAATGTGATGGCAGTTTCTGTAAAACCTCCAAGACAACACTGAATGGAAAGGCTGCTGCAGCACAAGGTCAAATATGCACAAAGAGCCATCACGGCTTTTGTATGCTGTACTGATGGTAAAGCCCCTTAAGGAAATATTTGATTTGTGATATTGGGCTATATAAATGAAATTGCCCCGACTTGACTAATATATGCATAACTTAATAATCATGCACAAAGAAAATAAAATCAGTTTCATAAACCATAAAAAAGAGGAATGGGCCGATTTTAAATTGCTGAGGAGATTCTTCTCATATCAGATCAGTCTATAAAAATATTTTCCCCTAGCCGTGCGGGGCATAAGAGGTTAAAGAATACCCTCATACTGTACTACCATGTATATCACCATGTAATAAATCATATAATAATCAAACCTATATAAAATTTATATTTTCCAACTTTCATTAATGCAGTGTGCTTTACATACAACATATGAGAAAATTGGAATGAATGAAATGAGAGTCACAAAATGAAGTATTGTATGTGCTTTTCTGCTGTCGGACATCATAAAATAAGCAGCAGAAATCAAATAAATGATGAGAAAGTAATGAGAAATGTCAATAGGTAATTCACTAGTGAATCTGGGACTACACTTCTGCAAAGACACACGTACATGTCTCACCCTACATGTGAACCCACGCATATAAGAGTCTTGTGCAGTGGATTAAATGAGCACAAATACGGTACTATCCAAGGTGGCCATACGCTTGTACTTGTCAAAGATATGCAGAAGATTACTGACCGGATCTTTGACGAATTTTATTTATTTTATTTTTTATAGGATATGATATACAGATCTGGATACAGATCCATAAACTTGGATACCATTGGATCTTTCTGGATACAGGTCATTTTTGTCCCGTGGTCGGTAACTGTAGATCGTACACACCTACCAAATATCATCAAGGATTTGCACGTCAAACAAGCTAATTATTTAATCCAACTCTTGTTGGAAGGTGGATAGAAATTGAGAAGAGAAAAATAACAAGTCAGTAGAGAACAGTCTCCCAACAACCTTGCACGCACAATAGTCATTTCAGGCTTCAACAAAAACATACATTTTAACTGATGCAGAGAGAACAGAAAACACTCATCTTCCTTCAACTTCTCATTGCTGCTGTTCTCAGACATGTCACCACTGCCTCTGCACCAGATGTCAAATATTATGCTAGCATGTGGCCCTTTCTATTACTGTCCTGTTACATTTAAATAAAGTGTTAGCAGATCTGATAATTTTCTAATTTGACAAAAAGCATTCACTTTAACAGCTGGGTGATCCCATTAGTATGGTGATATATTTCTCTCTCTATATATATATATAGCTATACAATTAGTAAATATGAATCTCTTTGCGGTTGATAATTCCTTGTATTTTTCTGAGGACTTGGGCTGATGTGGATAAACGTGTCCTGTATGTCTGTTGAGTCTGAACTGTCCCCATGTTGTTTTATCCTTCCCTCCAATGAGCTTAAAAATCTGACCTCAAAAATGTTCACCACCATCAATTCCCGGAGTTCCTTTTTTATCCTTCACCCTTCTTACTGCGGCCAATCTTCATTAGAGAATATACTCTGGGGCGTCATAAGGGTCCGTTGTGAGTGACAGTGACCCAAAGACCCTTAATTTGCAAGCTGCTGAAATCTCCCAGCCGTGTTAGATAGTGAACAGAGACCTGCCTCAGTGAGTGGAACATGAGTGCTTTTTTATTTCTGCCTTGCCCTACTTCTAGCTCAAGAGCTCATTAAATAAGATATTGTGTTAAAGCTGGAAATAGAAAGAAAAGCTGGTGGGAAAACAATAATCGTGTATCTAGCCATAGTAAATATCATTGTTTTTTGGGAATCTTGTCAAGTGGCCGTAGAGTATGTGTAGAGAGTGTATATGATGGTTTCCTATAGGTATTTTGTGATTATGTGTCTCTCAAGGCAAACATGCTGTGGCTCAAAAAAATTCAAAGAAGAAAAAAGTAGGATCCATGCTGGCTTTGGACTGCAAAGAGTGCATATTTCCTTCCAGAATGGCTTAATTCTTCAAATAGTGGCACTGACTGACTGTAATTGGCCTCATATATTAAAAACCTAACCTCTTTAGTGAAGGTGATAATTAGTCTAATATCACAATTCAGTATATTTAATGGGAAATTCATACTTTCTTTCATTGAAATATGTTCAAGGAATTAAAGACTGTGAGAACCAAAACAGTTTTTATTACAGAAGTGCTGTGGGCCAACCCAGTCTCATAGAAATTAAGTTAATATTGAACTAATTTGCAACAGCAAATAAGTTTTGAAGGAAATTTAATACCGACCAGATTATGTTAACTACAAGAAATGTTGTTCATTAACGTATCTGACAAGTCAAAAAAATATTGAAGAACGTATCAGAAAAATTTTCTTTAGAACCTATTTAATTTGTTAAAATACAATATCAGCTGGCAGCATCTACAGCATTATTAATCATCTTCATGGTTATATGTAGGAACTGGCAGCACTTTGTTATAGTTTTGGTCTTGGACTTTGGTCTTGGTTCATGGTCTTTGTTTAATACACAAAAGGTCTGCAGTGACATGAATCATGAAACACAACATGATCATCACATTTCGCCTAGTGTGAAAGCTGTCAGGTGGAGTAAACTGGAGTGAGGCCTCTCGAAAAGGAACATCTCCCAACCAAACTCTGGTGCGTTGTGTTTGTGCTGAACACATGTGGTTTAACATGAATTTAAAAGCTTATTACGTGAACTCTAAAGCAAAAAATGTCCAACGAGATCTGTTCGAGCAACCTATATAATTATGCAACATCTTTTGGAAAACTTGCTAACACGTCAGCACGAGTACAGGAATTTTCCCTAATACATTAGAAAGATAAAAGAGCAGTTCCTCATTAAAAAGCGAGTAGAGAAATCGACCACACAGTAACTACCCCTCCTATTATAGTACTGCACAAGACACCCCTTTTTCATCCTGTTACTACACGCTCATCATTATTCATCATATATTAGGTCCAGTTGCAGTAAGGACTAATAATCTTCATAAACAGTTATGCCTTTGTGAGCTGTTACACCAGAGAAGTCAAATACACATAAGATGAAGTGATGTCCTACATGACTTTGCTGTGAGTCGCCGCTATTTGATTTTCCCACATGGGTTCATGTAGCGCTAATGATGCACACAGCTCTTGCTTTGTTTGTAAGACATCTGCGTGAATATGAAACACATTAAAAGCAACAATTTATTATTTATTGAATGTGAGTCCATTTATTATATTGTTTTTCTTTGGTAATAATAAGCTTATTCGCTTTCTTACTGGGAGTTAGATGATACCACTCTCACGCCTGTACAGTTAATGTGTAGCTACAGCCCGGCAGTGGATAAGCTTAGCACCGCTAAAGCTCACTAATAATCAAGTTATATCTCGTTAATGTCAAAAATCTGATTTCAGGGACTTGCTTGAGACCAGTTGCCAGGCAACTAGTGAAGATTTCAGGAATTTACTGCTTGCTGGGAAGGAATAGTCACAACTTTCACTTTGGTTTTCATACAGCTTAAGTAAACACGATATGACATGTTAATTAGTAAGCTTTAGAAGTGCTAGTTGAAGGATTTTGTAATCGCTGCAAACAACCAGGCTAACCCCCTGTTTCCAATCTTAATGCAATGAAGCTAACAAGGTGCTATGATAAACAAATTTTCCCAAATGAAGAACTGTTCCCTTCCACCTCTGTTGATCTTTTATTTTTTATCATTAATTGCTGTTTTCCCTCCTCAGTCTTTGTTCACTCTCATTGGCATGCAGTTTAAAAAAACAAACCAAATACCACAACCAGTCTGCACATATTTTTACGCACCGCTGTGTTTGACTATGACGAGTTTGACTGTGTTGTTAGCACACTGACAGCTTTACGCCTCTTTGTGTTTCCTCTGCAGTTGGGAGGATGTGGCATACTAGGAGTGGGAGTCTGGCTCTCAGTGACCCAGGGAAACTTTGCAACCCTGTCATCATCCCTTCCCTCCCTGTCGGCAGCCAACCTGCTCATCGCGGTGGGCACCATCATCATGGTGATTGGCTGTTTGGGCTGTGTGGGAGCTGTCAAAGAGAGCCGTCCTCTGCTGTTGACGGTAAGTCATTTGCCAGGGTGGTTTTATAATGCTGCCGCTGACTTTAAACAAAAGGCTGTGTTGATGAGATGATGCCACGTTCTCTTATTCCATTTTGTTGTTGTTGACATGATAAATGACATCAATAACATTTCAGAAAGTAATAATCTTTGACATTCTCCTACAGCATGAGTTTCTGTTTTGGTTCCATCACCGATTGATAGGGACACACTGGTAATTCAACCAGTGTGTCCCTATCAATCCATTTCATGAAAGCTTTTACCTTTGTTGTGAACAGCTGCTGTTTCCTCACAGAGGAAAATATCTTACACACAAGAAGTCTTTCATTTGAGGTTTGTGTGAAGCAGAAATGCAGCATTATTATGAGTCTCAATAATCACTATGGTTTATAGACAAAGGAAAGATTAAGCAGCACTGACAGAAACTAAAAAACGTCAACACAAAACCTAAGGAAGAAGCACCTTGAGTAGTTAGTTTCCACAATGTATTCTGAGTTGTTAGACGTATTGTTGAACTATGTAAAGATGGCAATGTAAAGGTTTTTATATCCAACAGACGACGGCTAACAATAATGCATTTTAGTGGCTAAAGCTAACGTTAGCTTCACAGGCTGAAGGGAACCTCCCAGCCCCAAATCCTGAAGGTCAGGATTGAGAATATGTAAACTTTTTTTACTTAAACATTTATAGGATATGTTTAAGTTTAAGTGGGACAGTCAGACTATCAGCAGCTGTCTGTTTATACATTTGACAGCCACAGAGCTAGCTGCCAACTGCCCATCTGCCAAATGACGTTATGTGATCAGTTAACGCCAAGTCATTTATCTAGAGGAAGACCCACCACTGCAAAAAGACTCTATCCCTTCAAACGTCAAAATGATACAGTTTTTGAGAGAAACCTTCGATCAAGCTTAAATAGTATATATATATATACATGCTCATGTTAACAACAGCTGAGAGTTTACCTTTGTGGTTCAGTGACAAACGCCCTGCATTAATATTAATTAGCTGCAGCTAATTGCCATCGAAATTGATGGTCGACTAAAATTTTCACCTTCAGCTTGTTAAGACATTGTTAATTATATAAATAATGGCCTGCCTACAGCGTTTTGAGACATTGTTAATAATGTAAATGATGATGTAAATGCCACACGGACACAAACCAATTGGTGACTTGACTAAAAACAATTCTCACAGCTCACAGTGACACAAATGTAGTACTGTACGCCCTCTAATATTACACAAACAGCTAAATCCAGGCAAACAAGACACATCTAAGCAATATAACCTCCATATAATTATCAGCTTGTACATACAACTAGGGAATCTACTTTGCAGACAATTAACCTCTATTTAATGGCAATAAAGGGACATTAACAGTTTCTTGCCATTTTTCCAGTGCACTTGTTGTTGGTTATGTGACTTAGTATATGATGATGCTAGCATGTTAAGTTGAATGCTGTATCAGTGTATTTTTATACATATAAAAAAATGCAAACCCTCTGACATTTCCCACATGTTGCAATCCCGAGAAACACTGTTTCACTAATTTGAAGAAAAATGGGCAAAACACAGCCAACACAATACAAATAACAGCCATTATGTAATAAAGAGAATGTTTTCAGTCTTTCTATTAAAATGAAAATTACATTTTAATTTTAACTCCTGGCTTCCACTGCAGTTTATGGGCCATATGGGGGTTAAGACTTGTTGTCAAGGCCTCCCCTTGGACCCACTCCAGTCCCCACATGGTTGCTCTTTTACTATTCAGTTTAATGTCTGGAGATATTTTTAGTAGCTTTGCTAATCTCAGTAGAACAGTCTCCTGCTCTTTTGTTTGGGGGGTAAACAGCTGTCTCATTCATGATGAAGTACTGACAGCATTGTTGTAATCACAGGAAAGAGCAGTGCAACACATCATGACTACAACCACTACCATTCATATAACCGCTCTCAACCAATAATGTATATCTTGTATTATGAAATATTTTCACATTTAGTATCAGTAACACACTTCAATAGGCCTATTATTCATCACAAGTGCTTAAATTGACTCAAAACAAGTGCATATGCAGTACAGTCCATCATGACAATGATTTATAGTAAACTCTGATTACCTGTTTTGCTTGAATAATTGCATTTCAGGTCATTTACTCTCAGCAGTAGAAATGTGGAACCTCCCACTATTCAGCATTCAAATTTATCAAAAAGCTACAAATGCAATGTGGCTACCAACAAGCACACTAAAAAAGTACAGATATTAGCTACAATTACAGTAAGGACTGTAAATGGGGCTCCAAACTTTCCTTCTTTTGGTCAAAATTACCACTGATATCAATGAAACAGCAGGCAGAGATATTTAGTAAATGTAAAAAAGCGCTGTGTGCTATGATGAATTTTGATATGAGTTTACAGCAGGAGTGTCTAACACTTGACTGACCTGAATTTGCCATGGGAAAAGACATATATACTTACTAATATGCAAATCAGGGCATACGAAGTGTTTGACATCAAATATCAAACATTTTTATGCTCTAATTTAAACAAATTTTGAACCAAGCTCCAATTCCAACCCAGACATCCCTGGTAAAGTGTGACCTCCAGATCCTTACAAGATTAATAAATATTTTGATAAACAAACAAGCTCATGTAATCAAGCACATACACTGCACAGCATTTATCAGAAAGAATAATTCTGGGTGGGGGAAAAATTGCATTAATCATTAGAAAAATGGCACAGCAGGAGAAAGCAATTATGAGTTCTGTGGGAATCAGTGTGAGTGTCGATCATTAGCATGATCCATGACATTTTCCCCACAGTGACCAGACGAATTCCTGTGCTGTGTCAATATAATGAGACTGGGCAAATTATAAGTCTGCTTTAATGAGTGACAGAGCAGCCAGTTCTTCAAGGAGATTAGAAAAGACTTTTTTCCTTTCAAATTTCAGGGCTAATTAGCATGTTGATCACTGATGAGGGACACAGAGTATTGCAACATTGCTGTGAGATATTTGAGGAATTATTGTTGCGCTCTGTGCTGGCAAAAGTATTATTGCCTTTTGTGTGTCTTGTAATTTGTTGCAACAAACATCAAGGATAGTGGTTTACAGTTTTTAAAATATGCTTTTTAAATTCTGTGATCTGAATAACTTCAAAGACATTTCAGCTTGTATATGAATGTAAAACTTCATAGACATTCCTGGTGTAAGCTCCAGTCTTAACATTTGGCTGAGGTATTGCAGCAGTCTTTGGACAAAGTTACAAAAAAGGAATATGGGTTGCATTATTAGTGTGCAAACAGATTGCTCAAAAAAAGAAGCCTTTAAAAGGCCCTGAAGATTTATTTCCTATCATCAGCTGCATACTATGAGCGATGAAGTTATAAAGTTGAAGTTAGAACAATAGAATGGTTAGGTAGAAAGAATGTAAGGAGGTATTTCATGTGTTGACGGTTCTGAAAATAAAAGTCCTTTTCATTTTTAGACTATACTGGGTAACTGTTGGAGCTCTATCAAGGCACGGACAGACACAAAACTCAACACAGCAGATGAGCAACTGGATTACAAAATATCTGGTTGTTTTATAAAAAAGACTAAAGGCCGCTGCACACCAACCCGATTATCGGCCATCGGACGCCGTCTGACCAGTCGGGCGCGAGGTCCGGTGACTTCGAGTCGGTTTCGATGTGTCCCGTGCGTCGTCAGTCGGTGTCGCCTCGGCTCATTTTGGCCGATTAGCACACTGTAGAATCGGCCGTGCAGAGCAGACTGATCAGTCCGACTGCTTTTCTGCCGACGGTCGGCCATCGGGTTGGTGTGCAGAGGCCTTAAGGCTGCCAACTTAAGGAGAAAAGTCAGACATAACTCCAAAGGTGCTCTTTAATTAGTAAGAGACTGAGCATAGAATTTGGTTTTGTGTGCAGCTAACAGCAAGTCTCTAGAGTAACCTGATCAAATATCCAGCCTTTCCACCAGCTTTGGATCCGATCAGGCCAATCACAATGGTTTAATTATTATGGGGCAGGTTTTATACGACAATTGACAGAGGAGTATCTCTGACTGAGATCTGAACAGTCCCACATTTGGCTGCTCTGATTGTAGGTCTATCCGATTGCATCCATTGCAGATCAAACAGTCAAAGTAGGCAGTGGTGGTCAAATATGAATTAAATGTTTTCAAAACAAAAACTGACCAAGCACTGCCCCAATTTGCATGTGCCGCTCAGCGCTATGCGTTTTGTTACACTGATTGGTTGTAGATTTATCCAATTGCATCCAGAGGCATTTTGGTCTGCACCTGGTAATAAAACCATTTAGAAATCAAAAATGAAGTGAGAGGTTCCAGACTAGTTTGCATTTGTGAATTAGTAGAGCATGTGTCATGTTAAATCAAGTCTTTCAGGTGCTTTTTGTCATTTGAGCGCAATGCACCAGTCATGACATTTTGGAGCAAAATCTATACCCTGTCCTTTTAAATTGTAAATAACAGTCATTTAGGGTCAATTTTCATCAGGGTAATGGGTAATTACAGTCATGTTTCACACCAGTAGGTTCAGACAGTCAATACTAGTGCAAGTCAAAAGGCACAGAGGAGGTGTGGTAGGTCTGTGACCTAATCTGCATCAAATTTGTCAAAAAGGTGAGATCATTATAGTGTAAATGGAGGCAGATTGTTTATACTGAGCAGCTTTACACGAGTCCAAGATATAGAGTCTGTAAAAATGATTGGACCCACCACATAAAAAGAACACAGCTATCACCTCAAAGGGTTTCCTCCATATACACTCAAGGCAGCAAGATCCCAAAGGGTATTGATTTTGGAGACGCTAAAGGACTGTGTGCCTGACATGGCTGAGCCACTGTAGCTTTAACACTGCGTGGAAATCCCAGCATGGATGAACATGAAGGAATCAATCCCTGTGCATGGACTTTGATTATAGTTGTCAACCTGAAGCCCTGCTAAGGCATCAATCTCTGCTAAACTGGGATATCAGCACTACTG